TACGTGGAGATGGCCACGATATGAAGTAGATTGGGACGATGCGAATAANATCGTTCGGACGAGTTCTAAGTAGATTCGGACGATTCGCCGCGCGCTTCTTCCACCTGCGGTTAAACGACAATGTACAATGATTTTTCCTCGAGTTGTCGCGTCGATTAATGATCCAGAGAGAACGGCGTGTATCCCCGATACAAGCATAAGAACCTTACGAAAGGAACAACATCTTCTTTGAACGCTTATTCCTTCGAAGACAAGTGATAACCAGGTGTAGAAAATTACCAAGAACGCTAAACCTGACAAGAGAAGGAGGATCGGGTAGAGACCAGTTGCTGGTAAACCTCGCGATGGTCTCCTGAGGGAGAGGCCATGGATTTCCCCGTACTTGATTACGCCTCGATAAAAACTGGGGCAGGCTAGGTGCGAGTCGGAGGCAGGCAGCTTCCACATCAGAGTGAGGTGTTTCTTCGCGATACGTGACGCACCTGCCATTAAATGTCCCCACGTCGAGATAGCTTCCTTGCCGGAGACGTCCACGTCTCTCCCGAAAAGGACACTCACTGCTCCGCGCCATCGGCCTGTATTTCAGCATGCCAACTTGCAAATACTCGGAGGACACCGCTCATTGGCGGCGATTTTCTTTTCAACCGCGTCGATCGTGCTCCCTTCCTTTTTTTCGCCGTCTCGAAAACCCGTCCAATTTCTTTGATGTATACGTGGTTGATTTAAACAACGCCACGGTAAAAACAAGCAAATTTGGAGACAAAATTGGATCGATTTTCCTCTATCTAAGCGAAGGAAATTCACTTTTCCGATCGTATTATTTCACGTATCCATAAAGTTATTAAATATCTCCCATTCGTTCGATTTATATTTCTAAACATCCGCTTGAAATTTGATTTTTAACGTTTTCAAAGAAACTCTTGGTGCTTTCTTGACCGCGACGAGACTGATTTTCGATCGATGAAATATAATCGACCAAAGTTAATTCGTCGAGAGTAATACATTATATCTGATAAATCCACTTTTTTACGGATCTCGATAATAATAAATGGAGCATCGATGCCATTATTGAATAAGAAATAATAAAACTAATAACGAGATTGCGTGAAATTTGAAAGGAAAAGGAGGAAGAAAGAAAATTTCCGCGGAAACGGAAAATTGGCGTCTCTCGAATGGAATCGGTTTTCTCGAAGAATATCGAGCATGAGATTCGAGTTGGGACGCGATTCTCGCGATTGGACGGAGGAGAAACGTGAGTTCAACCCTGGATCGTCCGCGGCGCGCGGCGGAATGACAGCCTCGTGACATCGCCGTCGCGGCGCCACCGTCTTCGGGTCGGCGGATGGGCGTCGGTGATGTAGAGACACGATCGTGGCGATTGGCGGAGAGAGAGGCGGTGGATTGGAGGAAAATCGAGGATGGGCAAGGCAATGTCGGCAGGCTGGTCGTTGCGCCGTGTCCGTGGCGGCCACACCCACCGAGAATCTCGAGGCCCGTCCCCGTTGGGACCCGGTGGCACGCCGCTCGAGCCGGCCCTGACACATTCGACAAGCGGCGCCGTAACGGGAAGCAACGCGCGGCTAGGGACCTCGAAGGACCTCTCTTCTGGTCACGAGACACCCTACCGACACTTTCGTGTCCACGATATACGCACCACGCTACTACCCGCTACTCAGATTACCCGCTGCTCCACGCGCGTATCCCGACCAACCTCGATCTCGCTTCATCCCAAGTGGATCGTTCCACGATCTCGGAGGAGTGGCGCGCGTTCACGCTGGGGATCTTGGATCNGAAAGAGGAACGAGAGCGGAAATTCGAAGAGAAATCTCCCCTCGAAACTTTATCCGCCGTTTCATCGCGACTACGTCGTGCCGCGCGATATAACGAGTGAGACGACGATGGAGAGAGTGAGCGAGTTTAGTGACTGAACGCGAACGACGACGAAGCCGAGACGATACGAACACGAGAGAGGACTGTGACGCTGTTGTTTTCGTAAACGAGAAAAGGAAAAGATAAAAGGAGGAAAAACAGTGGTGAGTGGAAGGAAGAAAGAAAGAAAGGAGAGAAGGAGAGAAGGAAGGAAGGAAGGAAGGAAGAAGCGAAGAGAGGATCGAGGGGGGATCGAGTGGTGTCGAGCATTCTCGTTGGAGCTAAAATTGGAATCGTGAAAGACGCGCGATAATTAACGGTGTGACGGAAATGGTCGTCGTGTCGGGGGCATAGATCGGAAGACGGACGTATACATCGATGATCGAGGAACGAGGACGAGGGATCGAGATCGAGAGACTCGATTGATGCTCTCCCGTGGGGAAACGTGGCGGTGGAGAGGAGC